AGTGGGAAGGGAGCAGGCAGGTTCACTCTGGGCCTGGGCTCCTCTGTCCTGGGTGGAGAAGTGGTGCCTAGGGGCAGGCATCCCGCCTCCCATCTTCCCTGGCTCAGTGCCCCAGGAACGGCAGCAATGCCCAGAGAGGAAGGTGTCTGCCGGGAGTGGCTTCCAACACAGCAGTAGGTGCCAGGCTCTATCAGAGGCATTAGAGGTGTGCAGAAAAAAAGGCAGCACCTGCCCTCAATGTTAGACTACAGTGGCGGGAAAAGCCACTAAACTGGAAAGAAAATCCAATACTGGAGCTCCGAGGAGCATCTAGTCAGATTGGGACCTGGGAGGATTTGAGGATGAGGTGAAATTTGAATTATACCTTCAAGGGTGGTGAGTGATCACACAGGAAGGTAAGGGTAAGGTGTTCAGGCAGAACTGCTGTGGGGAGGTGTGGACCAGAGGGTGTCAGGAGCAGAGTCCCAGGTACTTAGCTCCTCCTGACAGCATCACAGGTGAGTGTGGAAAAAGCGAAGGAGATGGGATGGGCAAGGTCACAGAAGCCAGGTCGGGGGATCCTGTGTGGCAGGCTAGGCATCTGATGAACTTCCTTCTGAAAGTCTTGGGGAGCTGCTGAATCATTCTGTGTGGGCAATGAGATTTATGTTTTCTAGGAGAGCTGGGGATGGATTTGGATTTGGGACCTAGAGAACGAAAAAGGTTTCTTAGGAGCCTGGTACCGATCTCCCCTGAGAGAACTGCAGTGGAAATGGAAAGAAAGGGCCTGACAAATACTTGGGAGGGGAGAAGCCACAGATGTTAGGACTCATTGTGGGTAGGCATGAGGGGAGAGGAAGAGATTGCAGGTTCATAGCTTGGGGACCTGATGCAGAAAGAACAGGTTTGGAGGAAAAGCTGATGATGGCAGTGGTGGTGGTGGTGGTGATAGTAATATTTGTTGAGCACTGGCACTAAACACTTTACTCATTTTCTCATTTAATGCTCACAGTAACCTATGAAGGAGGTACCATTATCTGTACTTTTAATATAGGGAAACTGAGTTAAGCGCTAAGTGGTTGAGTTGGGGTGATAGGCGTGCCTGTACCTTGCAGAGTGCATCATCTGAAGCCCCTGCAAGGTTTTCCAGGCTTCTCTGTAAAAAAGCTCCAGCCAGGTATGGTGGCACATGCCTGGGAGGCTGAAGCAGGAGGGTCACAAGTTCAAGCCCAGCCTGGACAATTTAGCAACTTGGCAAGAGCCTGTCTTAAAATAAAAAGGGGCTAGGGATGTAGCTCAGTACAAAGGCCCTGGATTCAATCCCCATATTTCACAAGCACACACACACACACACACACACACACACACGTGCGCACAAGCTTCGCTCCTTCCTCCTCCCCAGCCTTCTGTATCTGACACCCGCACAGTTTCAGTCACTGTCACCGGTTTCCCTCCTACACCCCACCTCACCTTAGCCAAGGACTTGTGCTGGGATGACAAGACAAGACTGCACAGCATAAGCCTTGTGACAGGAGGACACAGGGCTCCAGAACCCTGGGGCCAAAACCATACCTTCTCAGTTACAATATAGAACGGAACTGAGACTGCACGAACAATCAGAAAACCAAGAAAAGGAATGTGTTCCATTTGTAATAATAAAAATTATACAAAAAGTAACATTTTAATGACATCAGAAAGGGCCACGAAAGGTCTCCTTTGGGCCACCCTGCTCTTACTCCTTACTTTCCGTGGAGGAAAGGGCAGGGTCCTAGAGCAAGTGTGTATGTCTCCTAGAGGAAGCTCCTCCAGCTCCATTTCCCTTTCCCCAGCTTTGGCTCAGGAACACCCAGTCTGGCTTCAATAGTCATAGGAGATCAACAGGATGGTCACTCCAAGTGAGCCCCACCCCTCCTGTCCCTGGTCCAGCTAGGGGGATGGACGGTGCTGCTGTTTCCAAGTTGCCTGTCACCAAACTTTCAGAGAGACTAAGGGCAAAAGATGGAGCAGGTAGGTGACCAGGACAGAGCCAGGGGGCTTTGGGGAGGGTTTTTAGGCCAAGAAAGCCCTGGTTTCAACCATCATCTGAACCAAATTAAATGGGCTACCTAAAGTTACACAGCGAGCAATGGGCCTTGGACCTGTACGCAAAGGCTACGAATGAGGCTGTTGTAGGCAGAAATTAGAATGGCCACTTGGGTCCACCTCCCTCACCACCTTAACTGTAGGAAAGAGGCCCACTAAGAGCCCAGACAGCTTTTTAGAGTACAAACCTGTTCCCAGTAATCTGGGGACAGAGCACCAAGAAGCCAGGCACCAAGAATCCAAACCTTGTCTGATTTTGGGGTTTCGTGCTTCAGTAAAGCTACCACTAACTTTGTAGTCTGTGGGGCACAAAGGTCCTCACCAACCTTCTTGGGAGATTTCCTTTGCATACATCTCCTCCCTCATTAACTCCTGCTGGGTTCTATTCACATCCATGTGTGTCTGGCCTGGGAAGGATTTCTGTCTGTAATACATGAACCTTTCTTTGACCTCAGAGCAAAAGATGCTTGAGGGTCATCTCCTTGCATCTTTCAGGGGCCACCAGACCCCTACCCACAGAAGGGAGTGAGTATCCAGGAGGTGAAAACAGTGTTGTTCTAATACTGGGTCACAACCCAGAAGTGGATCACAAATCTATTTAAAGAGCGTCTTTGAAAATAAAATAAAATACACAATACATGCAATAGAAAATATCAGAGTGTATGCCCATAGCAAAGATAAATAGTATCCCTTGAAACTTGTTTCTGAAAGATGCACAGAGTAAATTCATAAAATGTGCCCCTTCGCTGTCGGTACTAAGCTAGAAGGCCCCCAAACATTCAGTAATGAACAGGACAGTATCTCATATGCCTTCTAGTGGAGAGTGAATAGACAAAACATTCCTAGACAATGTGCCAAGTGCCCTGTGAATGTAGGTAGGAGGATATAAAACTCAGATGAGGGGCGGGGATTTAGTTCAGTGGTTCTGCCACCTGCCTCAAAAGTGCAAGGTCCCAAGTTCGATCCCTAGTACCAAAAAAAAAAAAAAACCTCTCATATGAGAGTAGACATCTGGGAGGGCTTCCAAGGGGAGGTGGTGTAGTAAGAGTTCTCAGGAAGAGAAGATAGTGACTAGGTTCTAGAATCTCCTCCATCCTAAAGATAGAAAGAGAACTATGGTAAAGTGTCAAGAGTTCAAGTGTAAACGTGTAAAGACAAGCCCTAGTTCTGATTTTCTTCTTCTGAAGTGAGACCTCAGATGAGTCAGTTAACCTGTCCAGACTGTTTCTTCATTTACAAAATGGGCATAATCTCTGCTCTGCTAACCTCAAGAAAGTGAGACATCTAAATGAGACAATGTATATGAAAGATTTTTGTAAATTCTAAAAGGGGATGGCCTGTCTCTACTGATGAGCAAATGGAGGCAGAGAGGTAAAAGTGTTCTACCCACCATTACAGTGATGGGGTAGCGGGTCCCCCTCTATTCTATTTCTATTCTCTCTATTCTCTACTGTTGCAACAGAGCAACCTTCCAAGAGGGCAGGGGCAGGGCCAAAAGGGACTCCTAGCAACCTGACTACTGAATATTTATCTTGAAGATCCTGTTCTTTTCCTGGTGGGAGGTACACATGTCAGAACTTCTCCTTTTTCCCTCTGTTAATGAATTAGGATCTACCCAAACTCAGTGTTTAAAGTTACATAAGCATCATTCAGATCTTCTGGAACAGCCACTTTCATTTTTTAAAAAACAGCATTTCCATTAAAATGGTGTTATATAAAGGGTTTTATGCGTGTGTGCAGGAACAGCAGAACAGGCAAGGCTAAGCACTGTTAAGGCACCCAGGCACATATGTATCACGATGAAAGTACCCGGCAAATTTTGACCGACTTGTCCACACTGAACACTAAGACCTGATGCGTGCTGGGCAATGGGAACTACAGCAGGAAGGCCACTAGCTGCCCCCATCCCCTAGGGCCTAGAGAAGTCCTGGCCTTTTCTGGAAGCCCTTTCCTTGGCAGGGTGAGTTCCATGGTCATAGTATACTAGGGTTGGACGTAGCTCAGAAACTACCCATTGCAAACTCACTCTACTCCAGTTCCGCCAACCTTGACCTGAACAGCTCCCTTCCTCCCAAGGCAGCCCAAGTCACCTGTGGACAGATGTAGATCACTGAAAAGGACCTGATATTGAACTGAAACCTGCCTTTCTGGAGCTACCACCTTGTGGAGACAAATGGAAATCCCTCACCTACGACCTTGAGCAGGGAATTTATGAGTTTAAAGTCCAAGAAGGTCCCCTAGGAAAGCACCACGGGGCCCTAAAGAGCAAAGAGAGAAGGCAGCCTGAGTCCACAGAGCTGAAACTTCACTCTCAGAGACCTCCAACCAGCTCAACTGAGAATGGTACTATTGGGGCAGGAGGTGCCTGAATGAGAAAAAAGTGAGTGGCTCAATAAGGCCTTGTTCTTCAGGTCTGTTTCATCTGATCTGTGGCGGTCACTGTCCCGAGGTCAGCTCCAGCTTTGACATTGGAGTCCTTGGTCGCCCCCCCGCCCCAACCCCTTTCAGTAGTCCATGGTTGTACTTTCTTGTGAATCAGTGCGTTCCAAGTAGGGCAAAGCAGGAAGCAGAGTAACGGCCCTGGGCCCTGGCCCAATCCAGGTTAAGCTTCTCGGCTCGCCCAGGTTACCCGAAGGGAAGAACCATTCCGCCTTCCCAGAGTAGACAGCAGTGACTAAAACACCGAAGCACCGAGCAGGAAAACGTGAGCTCTGGAGTAGCCTTTTAAGTAGTTGGGAAGGGGGTGTGGCCGAGGAGACTGGGAGGCCGCAGCTCGGCGAGGGGGGAGTGGCCCGGAGGCGTGGCCATGGCGATTGGAATGTTGTTGGGTCCTCACACCGCATAGTAAGGAGGGGCCACGCCCCTTTTCTCCGAGAAGGCCAATCGGAGCGCCGGAGCGGTTTCAAGTCTCCCCTGCCAGCCTGCCCGCCCGCCACCCCACCCCCCTCGGGGATTCGCGTTTTCCGTAACAAAATAGCAAAGCTCTGAACTGTCCGCAGCCCCGGCCGCTAGCAAGTGGAGGGTCCTGGGACCTAGGACGCTGGCCCGGAGTGGGAAACACCGGCAGGCCGTGAAGAGGCCGGGTCGGCAGCTGAGGCGCGCGGGGGTGGGCTCTGCAGCCGCGGGTTGTTTATCTGGAGTACGGAGGGGAGGGGGGAGCCTGGAAACCGCCCCGTGTCCCATTTCCTCCTCTTGTTTTCGCTCCGGATTCTCCATGTTGGACCCAAACTGAGGAGCCCGGAGCTGCCACCGGGGGATCGGGGCCGGGGGCACCCGGGGGAGCCGCTGCCCGGGCCGCCCGCCCTCCGTCCAGGCCGCCTCCCTTCCCGGCCTGGGGAGGAAACGAGAAGGGGGATGTGAACAGCGGTGGGAGTCGGAGACTCGGGAGCCAGAGCGGAGCGGGTCCCCGCCCAGGCCCCCAGCCCAGCCCTGCCCAGCCCGCGCGCCCTCCCGTCCTCCCGCCCAGCCAGCCCGGGCCCGCGGAATTGTTAGATGGAACACGGCTCCATCATCACCCAGGCGCGGAGGGAAGACGCCCTGGTGCTCACCAAGCAAGGTAGGGGCAACAACTTCCCAAAACTTTGCGTCGCCCCCGGACGGGGAGGGGGCTAGCACATCACGGAACCCGCGTCCAGGCCCCGGGCCTGGCGGTTCGGGTTGGACCCCGTTGCCTGTTCCGTCTGCCCCCACGTCCCAGTCGGCACACACATACCGGTGGGGGCTACGCGGGCCCGGGCTTTCGCGCCCAAGGGGGAGGGGTGTCTTCCGCGCAGCTGTCACCCGGCCCCGCAGCCCCTCCCTCCGGGGCCGAGACGCGGAGGGGTCGCTCCCGGAGCGCGAGCCCACCCGCGTCCGTCCTCTCCTGAGTGTGCGTGGGGGCGGGGGTCGTCACTTTGCTGCTCTGTCGTGCGCCGCTGAGCCCGGACCGCGGGAGAAGGTGGGGAGGGGGTTAGAGGGGTCCGGAACTGGAACGGAGCCGGGACTGGAGTTCAGCGCTTCCCAGTCTCCCAAGCCGAGGTCTCGGGCCGCCGGCGGTGACGGCGTCCGGTGGGACTTGGGACCAAGTTGGCCGCCCCCGCGCTGCCGCGGTGGGGGAGGGGAGGGACCGGGCCGGGCCCTGGCCCCTGGGCCGCGCGGGGCTCTGACGGGCGACCTCCCGCCGGTTTCGCTGAGCAAACAAGCCCGACCTGAGGCCCAGCCGGAGCCCCTCCCTGCCCCGGTGCGCTCCCCCGGGGCCGCCGCTGCACACAGAGCCGCGTTTGTTTAGCCCGGGAGCGGTGTCCCTGGTTACATAATTCGCCGAATGGCATCAGACCCGGCGTGTTTCCGAATCGCGCAGCGAAAAAGTGCGAGTTCTCTGTGGGCAGCGCCTCAGCCCTCGCCTTCCTGAGGGTCAGGAGGAGACGCGGGGGGGGGGGGCGAGGGCCTCTCGGGTGGGCTTGGAGACCCCTCGCGGTGAGACCCTGCCTCCCGTGGGGCCGGGGTGAAGGCTGGGTCGGGATGGAATTGGTTAGTTTGTACTCTGGGGCCCCGAAACTCCTTCCCCTTCCCCCATGTTCTTCTGGCCTAGAGGAATGTGTCCAAAATAGCGGGTAGAATTTCCGTTTCGAGCGAGGACTAGCCTGGGGTTTTTTTCTGGAGAACTCCCAGGACGTGGGTCCACTTGACCCTGAGGCGGGGGAGTGAGCACACTCCTAGGACCATATCTGTTCCAGCCCCTCTGGGTTCTCCTCCAATTTGTGTGAAGGGCCCGTGCTGCAGGCCTAGAGCCTGGTGGGCGGCCAGCTGCAGGGCCTGTGTGTCGCTCTGTACCCCATCCCCCACCATTTGGCTATGTCGGTAGGTCACTTATTCCTGGGGTTCATGTTCCCAAAGAACTCTCCCAACTTGCCTAGGAGCAAAACAGCTTGGGTAGTGTGTCAGCCTCTGTGGAATTCCCTCAGTGGAATGGGGGTGGGTAGTGTGCGTTCCTGAGTCCCCTGCCTCAAGGAGGGGTGCAGCTGTGCCTACTAAGATCCCAACCCCCAGATGGCCTCCCCAACGTCCTGCAGCAGCGCTGGCCGCTGGCCGGCCTGTGTGACCCAGGCAGCAACTTAGCTGCCCTCCCCTGGCTGTTCAGCTGTGCAGAGCGCTGGAAAAGGAGGCTGAGAGTGTTTCTAGCTCACTGCCGGACTCTTTCCACTCTTTTCCCAACCTCTTCCTGGGAAAGGATCCTTGGAGCTAGCCTGAGGTGAAGACATCTGCTTGTGGAAGGAAACACGAGGGGGCAGTGGTGGTGAGAAGCCAGCAAGAGCAACCCTGTGCTTCCCCCTACGAGGTCCTCTCCTGCACGGGCTCCAGACTTGGCTTGGGTAGTGGGGCCCACCCGGGGAGGAAGGAGAGCTGAACTGTGAAGTGGCCACTTACAGGTCAGAGCTGGAAGTTTCATCCACTAGGGCCAGCAGCAGGCAGTGGCAGAGTAGATAACAGCAGAAAGGCGACTGGCTTCTTGACAGTGTCAAGTTGCTTGTGTTGGATTTTCTTGGGGTTAACATTTTCATTTTCTTTTTGTGTGCTTGGTTTGTCCTTCAAATTTATCCTTGGAGAATCTGAATTCTCAAACCAGCAGCCACTGGACTGGGTTTCTCCCTCCCCTCCCTTGTAAATCAGTTGCATTCCAAAGAAGACATACTTTCCTGGGCTGCTTGGGCACCCAGCAACCACCACGCCAACTTTGAGTGCCACATCATTACAAACAGAACCTGCATCTTCAAACAAAAACCAAAAGGAAGGGAGGGAGGAACTGTTTTAGTTAGCTCCTCCAGGAGTTGTGTCTCTTCCCCACCCTCTCTGCCTCATCCTATCTCCAAGCCCTGCCTACCTTTAGAAAAGAAAAGGTAGAAAAATATAAGGCAATTTATTAATAAGTAAGTTTCTGGAAAGAATTGTTTCTAGCTTGGGTGGCTTTTTAGTGAAATTGTCTTCAATTGCAGATTTTTTTTTTTTCATTTTGAGCATTCTGTTCTCCTGAGTGTTAAAGCTGTCTGGGTGTGTTGATTCAAAAGTAATTACAGTAGTGGAAGTAGAACAAAGTTGCTGAAAGCGTCAATGATAAAGCACCAAAATTGGACCATCTTCCCAGACAGATGGGTGAAATGGCTTTCTGGTACAGCAAGGACAGGATTGATTGTCTGTAACATCAAAAATAAAAGTTAGTATCACTTTGGCAAGAATGGCTGCTTGTTGCAGCTCCGTACGGGGCTGTTACCCCATTGCTGGGAGGTTGTGCCTGGGCTTTGCTTTTGGATAGGGAAAAGCCAAGGAAACAGGGCCCACCCAATGTGGGTGGAGGAGGCAGTCCCACTCCCACTCGGTGACCCACAAGCGTTTTGGGGGAGTCAGAGACACTTTGTTGACGGAGAAACCTACTGTCCCTTCTCGGGGGGGATGATGAAACCTTGGATTCATCTTATGTGTGGAACTATACAGGTTCTGGTAGTCAGTAATAGGAAGGCTTCCTCTCAGAGACTCAGATGTCTAAAAATTCGGATGTGGCAGAGATTTCTAGCACCCATTTTCTCCACAGATGGAGAAATTCTGCCTTATTCTCTCAAGGAAGTGCTGAGACACCTTTTGCTGTAGATGTTATTAAGTCCTTAACATGACAGGCTGCAAAGCGTCTTGCCTGCCAGTGCTTCCTCCTCAGCTGGCTCTGTGGGTAGGTGCACCTCTGCCCAGCCTGCAAGGACCAGAGTGCGTGCGTCGTGAGCTCCTCTTTTCTGGCCCAGCCTCTTTTTGGCCTCTTTGTGTTCTTTCCCAGTGGCTGCTGAGACTTGCCCCTGTGTCTCCTATGGAGCTTTCCTCCTGTCTTGGGGCCTGTGTGGCCATTTAAGCTTATGTTTACTCTTACGCTAAGGACCCCGAGGGAATAGGCCTAACACAGCAACAAAGTTTGTAAATGCCAACATCCGGGGCTGGAGCTTTGCATTTCACTTGCAGAGCTTTCAGCTGAGCTGGAGTTTGGAATTCCCATAAAAAATCCACTGTGTCTGGCAGATACGGTATTCCTGGCTCTTTCTTCTCCATTAGGTAGAAGAAGTTGAGAAAAGTTAACTGAAGGAGGGAGGTGGTAGTTTCCTCTCTGTGGGACCTTTCGAATCCTTTAGTGTGTATTTTGTTAAAATGAGAAGTACTGTACAAGTCACATTTCTAGCTAAGGTGAATTAACACTCCCAGTCCTTCTGTGGTGAATTAATGGAAATGCTCCTAATATGGGAAATAAAGACGATATGTAAATGTTTGTGGGGTTGTGTATGTCTGGTCACAGATTCTCTACCCTTCCTCCCTTCTCAGTTTTCTTTTTGCTAAGCGTTTGAGTAGTTTGGGCTATTGTCTATTCTTCTCAACTTGTAGGTTCTTTTAGGACCAAGGTGGTGGTGGAAAGGCAGTTAATGTGTTCATTTTTCCTTAAAAGAATTGTTCCAGTTGCAGAATTGGTTGCTTCAGGCCTAGGTTCAAATCCCTGCTCTTCCTGTTTGCAGTAAGCCTTGACAAATCATTTTAGTTTTGCATTTAGCTAAGCATTTTTAGCTTAAAATAGAAATAAAGATATTTACCCTTCTGTAGTGCTGGTACCTAGTAGATGATTAATTTTTTATTGATAAATGTTAGTGTCTTTTTTATACAGCTAGACTGCTACTCTGTTCTCCCTCCTCCATTCCCCCAAGGACACAGTATAAACAATACACAGCCCTGATCTTGTATGTTTTACTGTTAAGGGGGCTCAGGTTCAGAGGGAACACTGATGTGTGAGGGCTTGGGCCTTCCAAACACAGCCCTGCTTCACAGACCCCTTTGTGCCACAGTGACTTGGGATGGGATTTTATCTGCATGTCTATTGAGTAGCATGTGGTTTAGGGCTTCAGCCATTCTGTTTGGCACCTGGGCATCTGGCATCTGGCATCTGGAGGTGGGAGGAGGCCAGAGTGTCATATTCTCCTGTAAAAGTCTCTGAAGTGTTAACCATGGAAGCAGCTGTGTGACCTCTCAGAAATGGATGTAACGATACTCAAGACAACTGTGTGGCACATTCTCTTGCTGTTTGCATTTGCTTTGAGAGATAATGAACTTGGTGAAATTCAGATTTCTTTTAGGGAATTTTAATCACAAAAAAAGAAACAGATTTTGAAGAGCTGTAGATGTTCTTAAGCTATGCCTTGGCAGCTTTGATTTTGGGGTAAAACGTTGAGAACACAAAAGCAACATTAAACTGCTTTTCATCCTGTCTTAGGCTGGGCAGCTCTGGAAAGTTTGGAATTTTAACTCACTGATGGGGGAAGGGGTAATGGGTTATGGCTCTGACATGATCTCTCCTTTTCTGAAATGGAAGGGTAGTTCCCCACTGAGCGCAAATGAGCACATTAACAGGGAAGTCTTTTGAAAGAACTAGAAGAAATCATTGTGGAGAAGTTGACTTCTTAGAACCGGAAGCCTTTCTGGAACAACTGGAGTAGGGTTTCTATGTCAGCAGAATACCTAGCCCTTCAGGTCTGGGTGTGCCTGCTCCAGGATCTGCTA